AAAGATAATAGGTAAAACCAACTTGTGTATACCACTTGTAAGTTTTATTTTTGCTGGAAATCTGGATTTTCACAGGTTCAATTATTTCCAGTTTCCCTTCTTGAAATGTACCTGCCAAAGTTGATTACCCTCTTTCTACTGCTCTTTCTTTTATTGGAAGAGTTAGTTAGCATCATTGTGTTTACCAAATCTGCAGATTGCTCAGCAGCACCAAACAACTTTGAATTGAATAGAGAAGGGAGGGACCGATATCTTGTTATCTTGGTGAACCAGGGGGGCAGTGGTGAAGATAGATGACATCCAGTTAGTATGCAAGGCATGTACTTATGCTTGTGCTCACTTGAGGATGATCACCCATTTATCAGCCATGGATAGTGGCCTCTGATCCTGCTCATTTTCTGTTTTTTGCTACATTTTTTGGTTGTTGTAAATCAGGAGGTGGAAAAGAGAAAAAAAATAAATCTGCGCATCTGAAGCATGCTCGGACACATTCTTTTGCTCTTCACGTTGTTGCCTATTGTACTGGTTCTTGAAATGGTTTCCAGTAATAATAAAATAAAGGCAAAGATGCCCTTAAATCAACCTCAACTCTTGTTGACTATATGAATGGAAATAGTTTGCCATTGTCTTCTGGCTAGCAGCCTTTGAATTTTCAGGTAGTCTGTCATCAAAACAGGTCTTATTCTTCTCAGCTTTTTTTGGAATCACCCAATATTAGATTGCTAAGCTACCATCTGTGGTTCCAATAAAATAATATCTAATAAGATGGAATTCTAAGGATTTAACAGCTGGAGAGCCATTGCTGAAAGAGAAAAGGCCACTTATGGTAGGTTAATATACTTAAAAATCTGAATATTCAGAAAGCTGCTTCATGTAGTTATGTAGGGGAACTGAGAGAGGGAGAACCCTCTTCACCAACAGTAGCATCATACTCTTGGATAAAACTGGTATATTATTGTACTGGAATTGGTATGTTTGGACCAGGTATGAGCATATTAGACTGACATAATTTGTGTAATGCTGAGACATCTGTAGCATTTCAGCAGCCGCAGAAGTGTATTGATTGGAGAAGTGTGATCAGGTTGCATATCTCAAGATTGATCAGAAATTTGTTCCATTCCTTTTTTTAGGGTCTCTAATAATGCCTGGCATCCTCCCCCCCTTTCAGCATGCCAAGGAAGGATAAAACAATCTTTAATCTTACATAATATCCTTGAAGTAACACAACAAGTTCTCCATGGTAACTTAAGCTCATTAATACCAACAGGTGTAAGTGGGTCCATTCAACTTTGCTAGAACTTTCCCATACGTTTGATCCTGCCAGCTTGTTATAATTCTGTAACACAGGATGGAGTATATTCTTTGATCCTGACTATCAGCATATGGTGAACCATTTGCAGACAAGTTGGAAATGATATAAACAGATGACCATGATTATTTATTCCACTGTTGTTGCTTTCTGGGATCATTTACACATTAAAACAAGATCCAGTTTGCATGCAACGTTTTTGAGTGAGTGATTTTCCATATTTTCAGTGTTAATCGAAAAGGTCAAGAAGAAAAACCTCCAGAGATGTGGGGAAAATCATTCAAATAATGCAGTGAACTACTATATACATTCTTTGACATCAAGTGAGAAGAAAGACTTATTGGAAAAAATCCTAAAGTTGAGAAAGGTTGAAGGCAAAAGGAGAAGGGGATGGCAGAGAATGAGATGGTTAGATAGTATCATTGACGCAGTGGGCATGAGTTTGGGCAGACTCTGGAAGACCGTGGAGGATGGGGGCGGGCTGCCATGCTATGGTTCAAGGGTGCTCAAAGTATCGGACACAATTTAGTGACTGAACAACGCAAACTGCATACAGTTACTGAGTACAATTGCCTTTTCATGAATTCATTTTTAGTGAAATTTGTGAGGTAATAGTATCATCTCATAAAACATTGGGAAGATAGCAGGACAATTTCTTCTCTACATTTCACAATTTATAGTATGATTTTTAATATTTTACTGTCAACATTGCTGCTAAAACAACTTTCTAAAACTACAATTTTGTAACTGATAATGCTGCAAAGGTTTTCTACTGAATATGGGAGTGTAGCTCATAGTAATTTTGACATTCATATTTTCTATATCTTTTCTTTTTTTTTAATACAAAAATGTTAAATGGGCTTATAGATAAAAAAGCAGATAAAATATATTGTCAGACAAACCTGTCAAAAACTCTTATTATATTGGGTATGATGTGACAACCAGCAATTAAGAATGGGGGAGTTTTTGTAAAAAAAAAAAAAAAGAAAAAAAGAAACAAGGTAAAAAAAAAATTAATCACCTCTCCAAATGAGTGTTTTCTGGATGTTTTTACTTTTATTGTTTTATATTGTTTTAACTGTTTTATAGTTTTAGAATTGTAAGCTGCCCAGAGTCAATTGGTTCAGATGGGCTGCTACAGAAATTGAATGAATAAATAAAATAAAAATTGCTACTTAGCAGGAGATTTCAAAGAGGTAGGCATGCTGGAGGAGAGAATAGGCCATGCCAGGTGAGGATATGCTATCATTCGCAGTTGTTTCCCCAAAGGGTAGTGCATAGAAAAGTGGTTGTTTTGTATATTACACCATTTTATATTTTGCGACAATAGGACTCACTTTTCTTCTTCTGACTCCTACAGACAGTGTATAGCTTGGCGGACGTAGCCTGCAAATGTCACGGTGTTTCTGGATCATGCAGCTTAAAGACCTGTTGGCTGCAATTGGCTGACTTTCGCAAGGTGGGAGATGCGCTGAAGGAAAAATACGACAGTGCTGCCGCTATGAAACTCAATCTCCGTGGCAAACTGGTTCAGGTGAACAGCCGCTTCAATGCACCAACTATTTATGACCTGGTGTACATTGACCCTAGTCCTGATTACTGCGTGCGCAATGAGAGCACTGGGTCTCTGGGCACCCAGGGCCGACTCTGCAATAAGACTTCAGAAGGCATGGATGGCTGTGAACTTATGTGCTGTGGCCGGGGCTATGACCAGTTCAAGACTGTGCAGACAGAACGCTGCCATTGCAAGTTCCATTGGTGCTGCTATGTGAAATGCAAGAAATGCACAGAGATTGTGGACCAATTTGTCTGCAAATAAGTGGGATTGTGTGGGAGAATCTATTCCAGTCCACCAGCAGGGGAATTGTACTAAATGATCTCAGTTCTTATTTATAGTGCCCAATGGGTTGCTTTCCTTGTTTATATGTTAAGTCTTTTGCAAAGAGAAATGATGGGGAAACCTTGTTACATCCAGCTCTGATTGTGCATAGTTTTATATTTTTTGCAATAATGGAGGGAGGGAATTGACAGAATATTTATTTGCATATTTGGGATTAAGATTTAACAATAGCAACAAAAATACGATAGTTTAAAAGGATATCCACTCTGTCCCAAACAGTCACAAGAAACATGGTATAAATGCAGTAGATGAGGTATTTGTGTCACATGGTTTGGATCAAGTAGGGCTGGACTTGGTAATACAAAAAATCTGGATGTGGCTTTTGTTCATAACTTTAGTGACAAAAAAATAAAAATATTCTAATAGTAATGATTACTTTATCTGTAAAATTTTAGCACAACGTTCTTCAAACCTAGTTGCATGGCAACCTGCAAGGATGGGTAAACACATAAGGTCCCTAAACTGCTGTTGTGCTGCTAGGTAACTTTTAAAAATCCATTAAATTAATTTGAGCTTTTTCATTTATTCTTGGTCTACATGTGAACATGCATTGAGTGAGGACTGGGCATGTAAAGATGCTAAGAAGGAAAAATGCATCATTCACCACCATTCACATAGATGCATTTCTCAGAAGATATAGTATTTGAATTGGCAAATACCATTTCTTTAAAATTACAAACAAAATCGAGAAAACCTGACTTTTAACTACTCGTTGTAGATCAAAGCAATATTTGGAATACTGCAAGTTGCAGTAAAATAAGCACATCTCATACATGTTTAGACAGCCTTAGTTTAAAAGAATATTAATAAGTTAACTTTGGGATTTCCTGAAGTTTGTGTGCTCAATAATGCTGGAAACTGAATCTGTATTATGCACTACAAAAATAGGATTCTTTATTTTTAAAGTGCTATGGGTAGTATTTTTTTTTTCAGAAATGGAAGTTGGCTGATAGCATTGTGGAATTGAGAACTCTTGGCTGTCCTGTACAACAGCTTGAAAATTTAAAAATGGGCCATGTGGCAAACAATATCCTTTTCATCATCCTGTGCTACTTTTGTTTGTTTTAATGCACAATGCTTTAAAAATATATTGTGGCTATGCACAAACTGCTCAGACTATATTAGAGCAGTTACTTATATATGGGAAAACTCTGGTCTGTTGGTGTCTAGTATCTCAAACCTTTTCTCATACATATATGTTGTCAGTACAAACTACAAACCAATGATTTCTTTAAGAAAAAAAGAACATAAAAGTCTTCAAATTACCAGACAGTTTCTTTGTTTAGACTTTGTTTAGACTATTATCCTCCCCCAATTTTAAAAACACTGTCAATTCACTTAAGAGGCTTTATTTGGGTGGACGTTGGCCTCCCTTTTTCTGGGGCTTGAAAATTGTTGAAGGGCAAGTCAGTCACAATTTAACTTTCTCTTTCCTTTCAGAAAGTATTGGATTTTTCAACTTGGTTTAGTGAAAGATTTGGCATATCTGAATTGTTGGTTGTGCACTTGAGCTCGGAATTCCAGAAAATTTAATGTATGGTTTAGAACAACCTAGTTCTCCACCTATGTCCAGCACTGTGCTGCCCTTAATGTGTATGGAGAACACTTAGCTGGGATGAGGTGAAATAGATTTATTGCAAATTCATTGTTGCTAGTAATGGAAGCAAACAAATGATACCTTTTCCTTTTTTTATAAATAAATTCTGTGATGAATTAGCATATTATACAGGCACAGTAGCCATAGTAAATCTCTGTATTGTTTCAATTTTAGTACATGTGCTGTTGAAGCATGTTTTGGCAAGACATTTACTCGAATTGGAACAATACAGAGAAAATTAGCATGGCCCCTTGTACAGGAATAACATGCCAGTTTTCATGTAAGAAGAGAATCTTTTTTTTCCCTTGACACAAATTTAATGCATTCTTCAGCTTCCAAGACCTCACCCAAATTCATCCAGCCCAATAAATATAAACAGATTGGAATTAATGCCAGACTTCCACCTTTCATTAACATACCAGAAGTTTCATTTGTCACATGCTGTGAGCTTTCTTGTTAATGCCATCATGATTACCAGCTTTTACAATGATGATTGCTCTTAATTTATTGTGCAAGGAAATATTTACTTCCATGGTTCCTAGTATTTGCAAACCAATGGCAACAATAATTTTCATAAATAAATAAAGCACTAATTCCTTGAATATGTCACTTTTGGTTTTTATTATACAAAAACCACCATGTTTTAAAATTACGTTGAATCACTTATCCTTTATCATGACTTCTGCCTATGAGCAGAGAGGTCAAATGATCCTAGCTATTAAAAATGCTATTTAATGTAAAATACTTCACTTTGTTCTTCAGATAATATGTAAATCTACTATGTCCCCCTCTTTGTTCTGTACATTTAATGTACATATTTTTGTCTTGTGTGATTTGTATATTACATTGGGTTTTTTAAAAGGCTTATGCCATATTGGAAGATAGATTATAAAATAAAATGTTGGTTATATATTGGGAGATGATTTTAATTCTTTTAGTAGAGGTATTTTTTTAAAAAGCACTTCTATTTTTATTCTGCCTATGTTATTTTTATAAATAAATCAAGGCAGCAAATCTTTTAATTCTCTTTCCTCCTCCTGTTTTTTCTACAACAATCCTGTGAGGTGAGTTGGACAGAGTTTTATTGTAAAACAGACTGTTGTTCTCAGACAACAGATTCTTTATCAATATAACAATAAGTATAGAGATTCTTTATGGAATCTTGAAGCTGCATTTAAGTTCTAGAGAATATTGAGAATTCTGAATTCTCATTTTTAATATTCTCCAAAAGATCCGTTTGCTGTTAAGTAGATATCTCTAAGACCTTTGCTTCACTCATTTATATAGATTTTTTAAAGATATTTTAAGCAAAAAAAAAAACTGACAGAATAAAACCCTGAGAATACTTTTTCATTCCATATAGGTCTTACAGGTGTCCTTAGAAAATAATTGATGAATTATTGAAGCCAACAATAAGACAAAAATACCAGGGATCATCCCTGAACGTTTTTTATTCTTTAATATTTGCATTGTAACTTCATTTGGAAGCATGAAAGGTGCAGTGTTTGCAATGTAATGTGTTTTATCACCAATACCCCTTACTCATGAAAAATATTTATGTTTCAAATAAATGGGTGCTTCTGATTTGTGATAGGTGCTGTTGCTAGCCATTTTGTTAATAGGAAGACCACATCCCTATAAGAGCATATTATAAAATATAAAAAGGGAAAGGTCATAATGCATTTTGCTTTAAAATCAAGGGTATCCGTTAGGGCTCCATTACACTTTTTTTATTAACTAGGAATATTGCTAACTTTTTAAGCAGAGGAGTCCATGGGGGTAGGGTCAAAAAAGTTGATGTGGTAGCCTTGATGCAATTAAAATCTTGCTGTCATCTTGAGTTATTTAATCTCCTCATGGAAGGGCCTCCTTAAAAAGCTAGCACTGTGGCTTATAAGATAAAACAAGTATATAATCGTCCTAGTGATCAAGCATATAATTGAGAATCTTTTCTTCCTCCCAAAACTGTAGTTGGAAGGAGCCTGAAAAAGTTCTCACCCAATACAAAATCCAGTAAATGTGTTCACGTTGTACAATTGCGTGCTGTTCTCACCAACAATGCCAAGCAGCTCCTCCCTCTGTGCTGTAAAAGCTTGATGCCAGCCAAGCTTGGCTTTTTCCTGCAGATCCAGACAGAGGAAACAGATCCATGCGGCTTGGAAGCAGCCTGACTTTTAAAAGGGCAGTGGCTACTCATCTGGCCCAAACTGCATGCCCAGGGCTAGAAGAAGAGAAGAAATTAGAAGAAGAAAGGAAAGAAGTCAATTTGGATGCCAGTTCTTGGGGTTTCCATATTGCGGGACAGAAATGGATTGCTGACAATTCCAAGAGGTGTGTTAAGTCTGGTGGCCAGTCTGGTGATCCAGATTTCCTTAAAACTAAAGATGGCCTTCTCTGGCCTAGCTGGACTTTGCTTGCTACTTGTTGGTCACTCAAATCATGCTGTTCCCCTATAGCCTCCCCACCCAGATGGCTTGAACAGATGGTCCCGCAAATCCTCCCACAGGAGGAAAAAGGGAAATCTCCAGCTAATAAGAGCAGAATGGCAACAGGAAATGGTAGTTGATTTGGCTGCTACATCCTCACAAAGCATTTGGGAATGATGCCTTTTGTGAGGGGAAAAAGAAGCAACTCAGTTGATCAAATATCATAAATCAAAGTGGCTCTTCATGTCATGGTGTTGGTCTGGGTCCTCTGCCTGTTGTTTTCCACAAATAAACTCCATACTCCGTATGAAGAAGTACATTTAATACAGAAATCACACATGAATCCACAGGTGAGTTGTTGACTTATAAATAGGTTGACTTATAAATAGATTCTTTGAGTATTGAGCCAATTTTTGTATTTTGGAAAGCAGCATTTCTGACAAGTTTTTTTCCCTCTTTTGGACAAAATGCAGTCAGGAAACAAAGTGGATTTTACTGAACAATGTCTAATAAAATATACCAAGAGAAATTTGGATTAATCGCATCTGATCAAAGAAAACTTTGCAACATCAGCAAATGTAATAGATTGCTTATTTGCACACTTTCTTTCATTTAAGAGGCTAGCTTAATGTACTGAATCTCTTCTTGGGTGCCAAGAATGTAATATGCCACAAAAGTAGAAGATCAACATGGAACATGCTTTAAAATAGCACTTCTGGGTAAATTCAATTTCTGTGGTCTTAATTACTCACACATGGCTTCATTTTCCTTCACTTGTATATTGACCAGTATTCTTCATTGCAAAAACTCTGATCTCCACTTGTATAGGTCAACATTTCTCTGGGAGTGGAATATGCTGAAATTCTTTCTAATAACAGGGAAATTAAAAAATATTTACCATATTTATTCTAAAGTAAAATAATCCTGAATTTTACATGACTCCCTCCCCAAAAAATGTTAGATTGGGAGAAAGAGTCATAAACCTAGAGGAAAATCCTGTGAAGTCCCCAGTTTGCTCACCTTGTTACTAACATCCTTGGAAAATAATCTGAAGCCAATGTCCCATTCCCTAAATTGTCCATGTAATACATTCATATCTAGAACTGTTTATAAAATGTTCCCAATTTACAAAAAAAAAAATAGATCTCTTATTTGCATATACTTACCATTGTCTCACATCAGAGCATATAAGTGTGTATATATACATATGAACACATTGTCCTCCTTACAGAAGAAACAGTTGGAAGAAAAAAGAGGAAGGGGAGAGGACTGATATGGGATCAAGGAGAAGAGCATCTACACAAGAAAATAGAAAAGAATAAAATGGATGGAGAAGAAGAGAGAAGAAGTAGAAACTGGCTAAAGGGGAAAAAAGAACATAACAAAAAGTGTTAAATTTACTAGGCCATCGTCTCCCAAAAAACAGCTAAACTTCCATCTTCATGCAATAGCAATTTTTGGTCATTTACACTTCTTGCTAATTCTTTGAATTTCAACACATTTCATAAGATCTCCCCCACCCCTCTCTCTTACACATACAGACTAACTGCAACCTTTCCAGTTTATAAATCAGAGTTACTACATCTAGGCTGCCTCTAGATGGCACCAAAGTGTGAGTGGCTTTTGTATCCTTTTGCTGCAATCTATGGGTCAACCAGAATTTTGCATCCCAAATCTGATAGCTCTACTACAGAATTTACATCTCCTGTAAGTAAATTCTACTGAGCGTATTTATATCTTTTTAATTAATATTCTGCCTTTGGTACAGAAGATCAAGGTGGCATATACATCCATTTATGAATATTATTAATTGCTTGAAAAATTGAATAATGAGTGTATGGTTCTTTATACAATATAAAAATAATTTCAAAGTTGTCTTAGCATTTCTGCATTTGTGCTAATCGGTATATGGTCTAAGGCAGGAATGTTCATCTTTGCAATTTTAGCTAACACTCCCAGGAAACTGTCTTGGTCCTTGTTATTATGGGAGTTTCAATTCTAGAGAGATTGGTGACAGAAACAGTGAGCCTGGAGATGTTGTAGCATCTCACATAAAGCCTGCATCCCTCCAGTTTCCATCAATAGTGATGGCTGTCAGTGCCAATGGCCTCTTGCAGCACGCAAGTATATACTAGAAGATACCGAAGCTGATTATAACAGAGTCCTGGCTGATTTGGTATATATGTTGTACTTTTATACTGATAAGGGTGTGAATGAGAGAACATTAATTAATAAAAATAAACTGAAAATTAGATTTGTTGAATAATTGTAAATTCATTCATTCATTCGTTTTTATCAAAGGGTTTTTTATCTTTTTCACTCAGTACAGGAAAGAAGTCTTTGGAATGTAATGATACAGCTCATCTCTGGCCTCAAACGCTTTTTGAAGGATGTGAAGTGTTGTGTTCAATCACAGGCTTAGTTCATTGTAGCAAAATCCCCTGGAAAAACTCAATTCATGTTGATTTCATCACTAAACCACTATGTTAAAAATAAGTATGGGAATTGCCCTTAAATTAGTTTGAAATCAACACTGTGGCTAGTTAAACCAAAGCTCGATAAAGAATGGGCAGTTAGGAAGCCTGAAATAATTTTCAAAGACCAACTGGTTCAGAAAAAGATACCGTGCCATTTCACTTGTAAAAACTCCCTTTTAAAAAGGCTTTTGGAAAGGAATGGCCCCTACTGAGTGATGCTTTTTGAAGCGTTCTCAATCTTCTCCTTCTGAACCTTTGAAATCTCCCACAATATCTTAACATTTTGTCAAATATTTTTTTCTGAGAGACTGAGAATGTTGCCCAATTCTCTTGGGGTAGGAAAATGATTGCCAACCAATTACATAGAATGCAGTCCCTATGTGCGTGTCTTCAAATTAG